AAATGTTTCCTAAACGAGAGAAGTTGTGCGAAAACCCTTTGGTGTTAAACATTAAACGCAAATTAGAAGAGATAGAGATCCAGAACAAGAAGAGTCGTCCGTCGATCTCGACTCCGCTGCCGTCGGCGCAAGTGATACCTATCGTTAGGACAGTCGACAGCCAATACAAGTCGCCTCTCCTTCCCGTTCTTACTTATGATAGAAGTCCTCTAAAGAGTCCACTTTTGAATTCATTGCTAAGACCTGACTTATCGCTAGCTTTGCACAACTCATTGTTATCTCCGGTAAACCTAATTAAAGGCATGTTTTGTTCACAAATTATACTAACATTTGGTTTGCATTGAAGCCTAAGACTAACGGAATCACGTCATCCCATCGATTGACCCAAAAGATTGCTCCCAAACCGACGCCCATCGAAGTGATACCATCGAAGAAGACGTATATCGAGCCGTTCCTCATGTGCTTTCACTGTCACGAGAAGGTATTGAACGCCACAGAACTGGAATCTCATCACCAGAAAAAGCACCCGAAGCTGACGATCGCCAGCTATACGCCCAACAAAGCGGACATCACTTCACTGGCACGCCGTACGTTAGGTCTCTATTAGTGACCCATTGTTTTGTTACCGGTATATGTTATCGTTTTTTGTTTCCATACGTTTTCAGACCCGATTCATATTCAACGCAAACCTTACAACTAGTTTTTGAGTATTTTTTTTTTAATATACTGTACAACATATTTTTAAACATCCTATTAAAACACCAATTGTCTAACTTTTATACCGTAATACCTTAGTTAAGTCAATCTATTTATAAATTTAATACTCAACATGTTGGCACTGATTGCTGATTGTGATAATATACTCAAATACGAAAATGCAATAATTATTTTATTGAGAATTTTATTTAATAATTTGAACAATTTATGAACACATGTTATTCGTACGGTAATACATTTAAATCAACTCAACACTCAGTGTTAATTAATAGATTAGTCAATAAATAAAGTTTCGGTAAAACTCGAAATGAATGAATAAATAATTTGTGAATCACTTGAGCCGTGAGTTAA